TTCGCAGAGTCCTCGATTCATTAGGGTCCGACGGAAACTTTTCATTTTTTAGATAATCTATATATTTGTTCCTCCAATCCCAAGTCAGGCTTGTGGAGTTTATTTCGGCATAACCTTCTTCGACTACCGACTTTGAAAGTTGTATGACAATCCCGAGCTAATTTCGTCATCTTCGACTGATGACCCTAAATTTGCGAGGGCATCGGCCTCACTGTTCTGCTCTCGAGGTACATGCTGTAGGGTCCATTCTTTGAACAAGTGTAGGGTTACCTGCAATTTGTCCAAGTGCCTCTGCATCCGATCTTCTCGAACCTTGAAGGTTTTGTTAACTTGGTTACCCACGAGTAAGGAATCACACTTGGCCTCAATGACCTCTGCTTCCAAACTTTTAGCCAGCTCAGGACCTGCAATCATGGCCTCATACTCGGCCTCATTGTTAGTCAACTTAGGGGTTTTGATAAATTGTCTAATTGTATTGCCTGTGGGTGGATTCAAAACGATACCTAGACCGGACCCCTTCACATTCAAAGCTCTATCTATGAAAAGGGTCCACAACCCCCAAGGATGTACCCGATTTTAGTAATAGTTCCCTTTCAACCTCGGGTACGAGGGTTGGCGTGAAATTGGCCACGAAATCTGCTAAGATTTGAGACTTTTAAGGTTGTTCGAGTTTGATACTCGATATCGTACCCACTGATTTCGATGGCCTATTTGGCAAGGCATCCCGAGAATTCGAGCTTGTGCAAAATATTGCAAAGGGGGTAAGTGGTTACAACACAAATTGGGTAACATTAAAAATACGGTTTTAATTTTCTAGAGGCACTTATTAGAGCAAGAGCAAATTTTTCTAATTGTGGGTACCGAGTTTCGGCTTCACCTAAAGTTTGGCTAACATAGTAAAATGGAAATTGCATACCTTGCTCTTCTCAAACTAGGACACCACTTACCGCGACCTCTGAGACTGCCAAATATAAGTAGAGTTGCTTGTCCGCTTTCGGAGTATGAAGCAATGGCGGGCTCGAAAGATACCGCTTTAATTTTTCCAATGTTGGTTGGCATTTCGGGGTCCAGGCAAAATTGTTCTTCTTCTTGAGCAGTGATAAGAACCTATGACTTCGATCCGAAGACCTCGAGATAAACAGGCCTAAGGTGGCTATCCGCCCTATTAATCTTTGTACGACCTTAATGCTGTCCACGACTGTGATGTTTTTGATTGCCTTGATTTTATTGGGGTTGATCTCGATTCCCCAATTTGACACCATAAAGCCGAGGAACTTACCTGAACCGACCCCGAATGCACATTTCTCGGGGTTGAGCTTCATGTTGTATTTTCTCAATATGTTGAAGGTTTCCTGCAAATGTGTCAAATGGTCCTCTGCGCTACGCGCAGGAACTTAACTAGCATGTCATCAATATAAACTTCCACTGTTTTACCTATTTATTCTTCAAACATTCAGTTTACTATGCGTTGATAAGTAGCACCAGTATTTTTTAGCCCAAATGGCATTATATTATAGTAATAAGTATCGTACTTAGTAATAAACGAAGTCTTTTCCTGATCCTCCGGGCTCATTTGTATTTGGTTGTACCCGGAGTAGGCATCGAGAAAATTGAGGATCTCGCGGCCAGCCGTGGCATCGATCATGCGATCGATATTTGGCAGAGGAAATGAGTCCTTAGGGCATGCTTTGTTTAAGTCTTTGTAGTCTATGCACATTCTAAGTTTATTCCCCTTCTTGGGGACTACAACTACGTTTGCTAACCATTCGGGATATTTTACTTCCTGGATGGATCCTATTTTGAGAAGTTTGGTTACCTCATCCTTGATGAATTCATGCTTTACCTCAGACTGTGGCCTTCTTTTTTGCTTTACTGGTTTGAACTTTGGGTCCAAGCTCAATCGATGAGTGGTAATCTCTGGTGGGATCCCTGTCATGTCAAGGTGGGACTAAGAAAAATAATCCATATTTTTAACAAGGAATTTAATGCGTTTTTCCCTGAGCTCGGGAGTTAACCCCGTGCCCAGGTATACCTTTCGATCGGACAGATGCTCGATCAGTATGACTTGCTCCATCTCTTCGACCGTTTACTTTGTGGCATCGGAATCATCGGGGATTATGAAGGTTTGATGTATCATAGAATCATCATCCTCGATAATTTCCTGTTGTTCCGATCAAATCGAGGCCGACGATTGTGGTTGCTATTTGACTTCTTGATTTTCCTTAGATTCTGGTCCCTTTATTGATATTAGTGCTGATACTAGTATTACTTCATCAATTGCAAACATCTTTTTGGCTGCCGGCTGTTTGCCGTACACCATTTTGACTCTTTTCGGTGTTGGGAATTTCAAGACTTGATGAAGCCTTGAAGGTATTGCCCTTATATTATGGATCCAAGATCTTCCGAGCAGCGCATTGTACCTCTTATCACATTCGATCACGTGGAACTTCGTTTCCTGGATAGTTCCGGCCACGTTTATTGGCAACATAATTTCCCATTTGGTGGTTTTACTTTCCATGTTGAAGCCGTTGAGTAATCAAGCTGAGGCACGATCTGATCCTGGAAGCCGAGTTGTTCTACGACCCTCGATCGGATAATGCTTGCCGAGCTACTGGATCAACTAACACACGTTTAACTTGAATTTTATTCATAAGGATAGATATTACCAGTGAGTCGTTGTGAGGCTGTTCGATCCCTTCCGCATCCTCATCGTTGAAAGATAAGGTATCCTCTAGTAAGTAGTCTGGGGTATGCTTCTCCCATGTGAATGTCACTTTGGTGCATTTGAATATCGGGCCTTGGGGAATATCGACCCCACCAACGATCATATGGATCACGTGTTGTGGTTCTTCCTGTTTGCATCCCTATCTCTGAAATGATTTTTAGCTCGATCACTTAGGAACTCTCGAAAGTGACCCTTGTTGAATAAACGAGCTACCTCCTCCCTTAAATATCTGCGGTCTTCGGTCCTGTGACCATGGGTTCCATGGTACTTGCACATTCGATTCGGATTCCTTTGAGCTGGATTGGTCTGTAGGGGTTTGGGCCACCTAGTATCCTTGATTCGTCCAATGGCTGACACAATACCTGAAGCATCGACGTTGAAGTTGTATTCCGACAACCGTGGTGTTTCTTTAGGCTCGACATGTTTATCGAAGCCACTCTTACTCATAAGCCCTCGAGAATTTTAACCTCAATCATTCCTTAGATCATTTTGAACGGGATTACGTCTCGGTCCATTATTTCTACGATCTGCACTATAGGGTTGGTACCAATCTTTGTTCGATCGGGGCTCTCGGTCGATGTCTCTTTGAATCCTACCTTCAGATCTATTTGGGTAAACAAAACTGGAAGGGGCTCCCAACTGATCATCCTCGACTCTAATCTTTGACTGATATCGATTATGCATATCAGCCTAGGTCACCACTAGATATTCAATCAAATTCTGCTTTAGTTGACGTGATGCTACCGAACTTCGCTCGTTCAAACCCTGAGTAAAGGCTTAGATATCCCAATAATCGGTAATCGGGGGTATGTCCATGCTTTCCATTTGAAACCGAGATACAAATTCCCTTAGCATTTCATTGTCCTTTTGTCTCACTTTGAAGAGGTCCGACTTCCTAGTCGCGACCTTTATTACTCCGGCGTGTGCCTTTACGAACAAATCGGCAAGCATCGCGAAAGAATCGATGGAATTGGGCGGCAAATTGTGGTACCATATCATTTCCCCCTTCGATAAAGTTTCTCCAAATTATTTCAACAGAACAGATTCAATTTCATCATCTTCTAAGTCATTTCCTTTTATTGCGCATGTATATTGCGCATGTATAAGAAGTGACATGCTCATTAGGATTAGTGGTTCTATTGTACTTGGAAATTTCTAGCATGCGAAATTTCTTTGGAGTGGGCTTCAGATCCGCACTTGGTGGGAAAGGCTTCTGCACGAACTTCTTCGAATCCAAACCCTTCAAAATTGGGGGTGCCCCCGGTATTTGATCAACCCGTGAGTTGTACGTTTCTACCTTTTTATCATTAGCCTCGATTTTCTTTTCTCCTGATTCAATCCGTTTAGTGAGCTCCTCGAGCATCTTCATGATGGCGGGGTCAATTCCCGATCCATTGTCATTCAATTTCTCCTGTACATGATCGACCCTATGAGCAACATCCTATGATGTATCAAGTTTGATTCTGCTTGGTGCCCAATTTTGATTTTAGAGTTGCGCTATCGCATCCTGCTAAGTTTGTAACATGTCAAATATCATTCGAAGGCTAATCCCGCCCTCTTCACCACTCTGTGCGTTCTGATCGGCTGCCCGAGCATCTTTGTGGATGTTATTTTCAAAGTCGGCGCCTAAATCTTCACGAATGGCAACACGAGAACTGACATCGACCAGATCTACAGCTTTTGGCACGTCGGGATTGATTGGAGGTACTCTGTTTCCCGGGGCGACCACATGTTCGTTCTCTCCATGAAGACCAAGGCCGGTATCTGTGTGAGTGGATACTGCTTGAGAGTTCGACATGTCGATTCCTGAAATCAAAAACACTTACGAGAACAAGCGTAAAAGCAGTGTGTGTTGTGAGGATTAATACTAGGCAATCACTATTATCCTTAGCCCCATGGTGGGCACCAAATTGTTTACCCTAAAAATTGGATAACAATTAAATTTATAATGTGGTTTTAAGGATATGTGATTTCGCCTAATACCAATTAATAAACGTAAAGATAAGTGATGCAAATTGACAATAATACAAAGCAAACCAGCGTTTGGACAGAGCTTTCGAGCTCAGATACCCTCGAGCTAGTTATGCAAGAATAGTTAAAGGCACAATAGGTTGAAGAACAAGAAAGTAAGCTGAGAAATATTATATTGCTTTGATATTCGTGAATGTAAGTTGTTTACAAGATGATTAGGACCCCCTTTATATATTAGAGGAATCATATTTAAGATACAATTACAATTATGGAAGTAAATCCCATGATTAACTAGATAACCGTTCTTGATTTGATCTGTTCCGAAATTTGCAACATGATCATTTCTGTTACTACACGCTGTTTGAAGTCTATCACATTTGGTCTTGGTTGTTGTTGGCCTCGATCTCAGCATGTACCTTGATCCTCGGACTCGATGTCTCGTCTTCGTGCTTTAATCCGATTCATTACGAGGCTATTCTGCGATGAAGTTTCCTTGTCTTGATCAAATAGCATAATCAGGTAGGCCGATTTTAACCGCCTAAAGAGTATAAAGGCGCTACTGCTACAATATTGTAATGATAATTCTGAATTTGTATCTCCTCCCGTCTCTCTCAAACCTCTTTTCTCTGTCTCTATCCCTTGAAATTCTTTCTCCTCTGATCTCCTTCCCCTCTGCTTCTTATCCTTGTTCTTCGATATCAATAATTTGGTATCAATTGGTATAGAGCCAGGTTGCTCTCGGCATGTGGACTGAATATTAACAAAGCATTAGTTGAAGATTCTACAATAGAAAACATATCGCATTTATGCGACGCATCAGCCGACCAAACAATGACTCTATTGGCTGAGATTCAAAGGCTTTTTCAGAAAATTTAAAGACAAATTGAGCTAAAATCTGAAGAGCCATGCAAATACTACTGCATGCCATGCTATGTTGTTTGCTCTAGTGGGAGGTACTATTGCCTAAACATGAAGATCTCTGCTTGTGTACAAAAATGGTAAGTTTAACCTCGAAACTTCTCCTTTAGGTTCCGTCCTTATAGAAAGTGCTGAAGTTCTGGAAGATATGTTCTTAAATGTACTTTTTATGGAAAACGAGAGTGATAATGATATAGATGCTTTGGGAGACACATTCCTAGCTAAACATTTTGTGGAAGATGAACGCGAGAATAATGCTCACAATGTGCTTGGTAAAATGCCAAAGCTAGATTATAATTCTGATGAGAGTGATTTGGATGCTTTAGAAGACATGTATCTACATGCACTATATTTCAGCATCTCTACAACTCCATGAATAGTGCAGCATGGGTTTTTAAGTTACAAAGGACATCTCTTATCCATGGATTCTAGTGGTAGTGTGAAACTATGAGATAGCATTCGAGGGACTACTAATCAACACTACAAAGAGGTTATAACTGACAAGGAGGTGGAAGAAGTACATGTTTGCAAGCTTTGGAGACTGGTTATTTGATTTTATCTTTCCTGTTGCAATGTGTTCTGGTGCTCTTAACTTCTCTGGTTCTGCCAGTCTAAGGAATGGAGCTGCAAAAGTCAGAGATATGGTGAATAATTTGCAATTCACTTTTGACTCAGGTGGTATATTTATTGGCTTGGAGAACCAAGCTATTGAGTTGCATTTTCAAAACCTGAACCACTTAAAAAATTTGCACCAGCAAACATGCAACTTCAAGGGATATGTGTCATCATTCTTCTCTACTCAATTATGGAGTCCAGCATATGGAAGCAAATTCAGCTCTAATGATGTTCATGCGATTATCATTCCTCTCTTGGTGGAGGAACGTGCACCACACCTTCTACATAATCAACTAGACAACTGTTGGTATATGCTTAGTACTAATGAAGTGGAGTGTTGTCTTCTTGCTATGAAATTGAGTTACTTGTTTGTTGTATTATCCTGAAATTCAAGGTGTTCCACATCAATTTCCATTTGTTCCAGGCGGCTCCTTAATGAAGTTCTGTTACTTGAGTGATATATTCTAGAGCAACTTTGATGTTTCTACACCAAATGATTATATAAATGAGCTGGAAGGTATATTCATATCACCAAGAGGTGCACTTTACTGTTGAGATAACCATTAAGGAGTGGAGCATAGCTTTTAGATGGAACACATATTATCCATTCTCCTTGTTACAAGATATAACCAGAAATATTGACTTCTGTGTGCTATGCTTGGAGAACATCTTTTGAAATTTCCTTTTGATCCTGGTGGCTCCAGTTCTACATTTACCATCCTTGAGGACAAGAATGTTGTTTAACAGGAGCGTATTGATATAAAAATTAGGGACTTAGTTCGAAAGTAGCTTAAGTGAGTGGGAGCCATTCTGGCGGAAAAGTTTGTTAGACTTCGATTTAATTTCCAATTCCTTTTTTTTTTTGGCATATTTCACATGAAACTAGTTAGGAGTATAAGGCTACTACTACTAAATTGTAATTTCATTGAGTAATGATAAATATGAATTTTTCCTCTTGTATCTCCTCTCTTCTCTGTCTCTATCCCTATCCCCTGAATTTGTCTTCTCCTCTGACCTCCCCCTCTTATTCTCTTCCCTTTTCTTTGATACCAATAATTTGGTATCAATCATAGATATGTAGTGAAAAATTACTAGAATTTCAATAAACTAATATTAAATTATGAATTCGATAAATTTTCAGATTGAAAACCTGAAGAATGCTCCAAGAGTGAAGTTGGTGGAGGAAGACAGGAGGGTTAAACTGATGACTACTTACACTCCGCAGTTTCTGGGGATACCGGCGGTATGGACGCAAGAAGGAGGGGATAGAAACATCGGGGAAGGAATTGTGATTGGCTTTGTTGATTCTGGCATTAACCCAGACCACCCCAGCTTTTCTTATGATCCCACAACTACTACAAATTATACTTCTCAACATTTTTCTGGAGCATGTGAGGAAGGTCCTTTATTTCCTGAAACTTCCTGCAATGGTAAGATAGTATCTGCTAGGTTTTTCTCAAATGGAGCTCAAGCTACTGCTATTCTTAATGCCTCTGTGGATATTCTCTCACCCTTTGATGCTGTTGGACATGGCAGGTAAAATTCATAATACTCTGGTGGTCAAACTTATCAAATTCTCCACCCATCATATACGTACTTCCTTAGTATTTATCTAGTATATTATTCTGTAGATTGGTCGATTGAACTTTACATGTTTATTTAGGTTAACTTAAATCAGTTGTAAGTATCAATTTTAATACTTCTCTATCGTGCTAGCAATCTGTTAATCAATCAGTAGTTAAATTTCAGGCAAATGGTCATTTTCTAATCCCCAAAGAAATAAACCTCGTGCTACCTATGGGGCTTATGTTAATGAATTTTTAGATATAGTTTATGGAAAATAAATTAACTTTAGGAAAAGATATTCCTCGAGAAAGCAGAAAAGAGAAAGGAAAGGAAATTTTAGTTTGAGATGTCTAGAGTATGATTTTGTCTTCAAGTTTATGTTAGCCTATACCTTTTTATTATATTTTTGATTTTTCCTTTCCAGTCATGTAGCTTCAATTGCAGCTGGAAATTTTGGAGTTCCGGTGGTAGTGAATGGCTTGTACTACGGACGAGCAACTGGAATGGCGCCGCGGGCAAGGTAGGTACATATAGAAAAACATACACAGAGGCAAAGGACTACACACACATACACACACACACACACACACACACACACACACACACACATATATATATATATATATGATGACAAGTGGGTCTTCACTAAAGGAATGCTATGCAATTGCTTATGACAAACAGGATTGCAGTTTATAAAGCTATTTATCCAAGCATAGGAACTCTTTCAGATGTATTAGCGGCAATTGATCAAGTAAGTATTACTTGCACTTTGCACCGGTCACTACACAATTCTCAAAGGTTGCAACCGCCACTTAGCGAGCATATATCCGGCCAAGTGAACTGGATAACTTATCATCACAACAAATCATAAGCAGTTAGTATAAGATAAAGCTTTAATATCCAAATGCACATCAATAATAATAATAATAATAATAATAATAATAATATTAGAAGATCAGGAATCTCAAAAGGAAACCCACAAGCTAAATCAAGAAGCATTTTTTATCTATCTATCTATCTATATCTATACTATATTAAAAGTACGAAGGCCCTTAGCGAAATATCGTTCGCCTTTTTTGCCCTTTAAAATTTAATTTTACAATGAACAAAATAGTAATTTAAGTTACTTTTCTAATATTTAGGACTTTAAAATCAATAAATTTTGGTTATTATATCTTTCCTTATTGAATTAGGTCCTGATATTTAGGAGTTTAAATTCAATTGAGATTTTACTTCAAATAAGGAAATGATCCCTTTTATTTTAAAATAGTACCATTTCATATTATTCTACGGACACTAAAAGATCTAATATCTAAGGTTTCTTTACAATGCAATATAACTAAATAATCATCGGCAAAATACAAACAACTCTACAAAATACAAATAAAATATATAAACATATGTAATAGGAAAAACTCTAAGTACCTGCTACTAATATTTTTAGGAGGTGCGTGTATGGCCAATCTTTTCATTCCCAATCTTTAAAAGACCAAAATATTTGATTTTTTATTTGTATTGTTTGATAAATATTTAAAAATCATGCTAAAAGCATTTTTATTTTTTGTTTTCAAGTCATATGAACAATATAATTTTTGTAAAATATTCCGACAGATGTCCCCTTAAATTACATTTAGGCATCTAAAAACTTTGGTGAGACATAATTTTTTCATTTATTGAGCTAATTAATGAGAACAATATCCATTTTTAGGAATTTTTCTTTGAATTTCATTTTATAAGCCTATATAACTCAATACATAGTCTAATATTTACGTGATTCTTAAGAAGTATGGGTACACGCGCAAAGCGCGTACCCTGAGACTAGTAAATATAAGAGTACAAATGAGTTGTAGGGACATAACCTTAAATCATACTCCCTCTGTTTCAGTTTATGTGAACCTATTTCTTCTTTTTTGGTCCGTTCCAAAAAGAATGACCCTTTTCTAAATTTGGTAACAGTTTAGCTTAAACTTACAATTCTACCCTTAATGAGAAGCTTTTGTAACCACACAAATACTCTGGGCCCCTTTTTGACTTGTTTAGGACCACAAATTCCAAAAGTCTTCATTTTTTCTTAAACTCCGTGCCCAATCAAACAGGTTCACATAAATTGGAACGGAGAGAGTATACTGCAGGAAAAAGAGGATGAAGTGTACTAGTAACCACTTTTAAGCATGCATTTAAAATATGTTTACAATTTATAATAGATTTAAGTATCATGAATTTTTGAGCTGTTAATTTAAAATTCAGGACTTAGTGTCCTAAATTTTTGAGCTGCTAATTTGAAATTCAGGATTAAGTGTCATGAATTTCTAAACTGCTAATTTGAAATTCAGGACTAAGTGTCATATATTTCTAAACTGCTAATTAAAATTTGGTACATAAAATTCGAGTTTCTGAACACAATTTTAGAACTTTACGATATGATGTCCTGAAGTTTGGATTTTGAGGGTTAAACTTCAGGTTCTGAAATTTAAGCAAATTGACTAATCTTTAAATACATTGTATACTGCTAATATATTTTAAATAGTATCCTTAAAAATGGCTACCTGGTGTCATTTCCAAAAAAGAAATCCCTAGCCTTCACGGACCGAGTGGATGGCCCACCAAAGCTGATTGCGTGGAAAGATCAACTAATCCTCAAGTTTTGTTAGCTGCGATATCTACAAGAAGCATTGAGTTGTGAGCCATGAGGACCTAATAAGATCATCAACTCACCCCCTTTCATGCCCATGGGGACAAGTCTTTTAAAAGTTTACTGTGCATAATTATACGCAAAATAAACTTACGTGCAAGTATAAAAAGCATACACACATCCACGACATTCACAAGAGTATCCACAGTACAAATGAAACCATAGAACTCATCACGATGCATGCATATAATAGTAACTCATTAAGGTCCGCTAATCCTACATGTTTTACCCGCATAGCCATAGCTTTGTAAATGTGCAATAAAAAGCCACATGTCTTATATTCAAAGCAAGTCAATGCCAAGTGCTAGGAGTGCAGGATCCTAAAATCACACACATCTTAAGGTAAATCATAATATAGCTGTAAAATGCTATATTTAGCACTTGCTCATCCCTACACCAACTAGGCATTTAAAATTATTTCAATGCATTTGTGCAACTCTTACGAAACATGTCTTTAGAAAAACAAGCAATTAAAAAGTTAAAAAATTCACCTACTTCAAAAGCAGTCAAAGCACAAAGCATCTCTATTGAATTTTGTGTTCCTTTTCGAATGAACACCTCATATCTATACAAATATGCAATAACGTAATCAACTACCCAATAGGAGTCACTTTAATATTTTTGGGTTTAGTCAAAGTCAATGGTCAAAATTAACTCTCGGCTAAAAATATTAAATCCTAGGACCTGATAAATTTTTTAACTAAACATAATCCATGGAGTCTAATAATGTAATTAGTTCTCAATCGGGCTTCATTTATCCATCCAATTTCTTACTTTTTCATTTGGGGCTTTTAGGGCTAAGTTCCGTATAGTTCATGCTAAGTTCCATGTTTTGGAAGCCTAAATTTGTATATAATCATGTAAAGAACTCAATAAAAGGTTTAGGATCATTACCTTAATAATTCTCAATGATCCTCCTTCAAAACCAGGTTATGATATGTGCGTTTTGTACCCCAAAAGTGAGAAATAAAGTATGAAATTTTGTATTTACTATTCCTCACCCAATGAACGTGTCATGTTGAGGAAGAGGCAAACCCAAAAATAGAAAGGATAAAGAATACTAAATTTTAACGTGAAAAATCTTTCAAATTAAAGGTAAAAATCATGGGATCATAAAAATCCAAAAAGCTCCATTATAACAGTAAGAGTATTACAAAAGTTCTCCAAATTGGATACATAACAAATACCAAACACGGAGCGACAATAGCAATAAAAGACAACAAATCAATTGAAGAAAGATGAGAAATCGCAAAAACGAAGCTGTTGTTCAGGGCTCTAAATTGGATACTACAGGCCTCCAAATCCGGTCTCCACCGTTCAAATCAAAGACTAAGATGTTAGGAACACTCAATGAAAATTTCAGCCCGATCCAACGGTGAATGAATCGGAATACGTGATTTGGAGCTGGTTGGTCGGAATAAAATCTGCTAAAGTCTCAAAAATGAGTGGTGCTAAAGTCTTATGTGCTAAAGTCTTTCAAAGACTAATATCAATGAGCAAAGAACAATTCTCCAAGTTTGCTCTATTTATAGATAATGAGTGGTGCTTTCTCTCAAAGCCAAAACCAACTCCAAATAGGAATGGAAACCAAAAGAGAATAGAATTAGGCTATTGAGCCTTTGGTTGAACAACGTGGGCATGAGTCCAACAAACTCCCCCTCTAACCAAGGAGCCAAATATGTCTTCAAGTAAATGAACTGTTGACAGGCTTCATTAAACCAGTTTTCTGCAAAACTCATGCTTATTTGCAACCACCGCTCCTCAAATAATTTCTCTTCCATGACCATTTTTATCCAATGATACTTTCTATTTATATGTTTGGTCTTAGAATAAAAAGTGAAGTGCGGCGGATAACATTCTGATTAGCACAAAATAAGATGTATCTATGGGTATGGTGGTGCCCATCCAATGGTCTCTCCCATGTATAAGTTGCGGTCTGTATCTGGCTTGTTCTCTAGGCCTACTCCCACCTCGTGGGAAATACTGCACCTCCAGTGCAACATCATTAGCTCGTGTCTAAACAAGAATACAAGAAAGAACTTGCACATAAATGTTCATCAAATCTTCATCAAGTTCATAATGATGATACAATATTTGAAGAGAATAAATATCAACAAGAAGTAGTCCAAGATACTAACATTCATATCCCAGGTGCCAAGAAAGCTTCCCAAAGTTATTTCATCAAGTCCGTCAATTAGTTAATTTCTTCCAACATATATGTCATGCAATCACATCAAACATGATCAATTAACAAGAAGGACTGAGGCCCTAAATCAAGTAGGGTCGAACCCCAATAATCAAGAGAATCAAAAACCATTTTGAAAGTGGCTTTTCTATTCATACTTAAAATGGACAAAGGTCCATAATAAGATGAAATGTGAATCCAAAGTCTAAGATGGGCAAGATCCGGACAATATCAAGAGGCAATGCCAAAATTAGTGACAAAGTCACTATCACAAGAAGACAAAATCCTAACAAGAATGCAATAATGTTCATGCAATTCATATATGTGGGCAAACTAAAGCATTTAAAAAAATATGTATTACTTAACTAATATCCATAAGAATTTAACATGTTGTTGACCCAAGTATATTGTATCCTCCATGGCAACCAAATAAATCCGAGTATACCAAAACATACTTCCTCAATTAGTAAGCAAATAGGGTACTGAAGTAACAACAACCAATATAACCACAACTTAAATTAAAAGAAATTTTAACAAGGCTTAAACTATTTAAAGTATCCCAAGAAAATAAATTAGATAAATAGTTTTAAAGATTATGTGCAAACCTTAGAGTGTTTCTAAAACTCAAACAACCACAAGGACGTAAAAATCCTCTAAGCCAAGAATCAAAACTTTTTCCTGAATTGTTCTTCTTAGCTTGAACGAATGTCTATTGTACCTTAAACACGTAATCAAACAATCACTTAAGGTCTGAAATTTAAAGATGTTTAAAGCAAATCATGATCAATACCAAAAGGCGGACAAAATAGGGTCACAACTATTCTAATAAAAATTTGGCAGGAACTCTACACTGCATTTCAGCCCCCTTTTCACA